TTCCTGTTCTGTTCTCGTCTGCAAAAACTGCTAGAGCAATCTTTCTTAAAGAAAATTTCCAAAATCATTCCATTCCTGGTGTGGCTTCCTATCACTTTTGAGATAAAATTTCCACCTTGGGGTTTCCTGAAAGCTCTACCATCAACTGACTCTTGCGTACTGATGCAATATGGTCTCTTGATCATGTCTATGATCCTTCTGGAACCAGACTGATCTTTTTAATATCCTGTTTATTTATTCTTTAATTTATTCACTCAGCAAATAGGATGGTCAATAAATTCAGTCCAACTCTAAGAGTCTAGGACATATACTGTACCTGTTGTATGTAAACATTGTCGGGAATACTGGGATGTGTTTTTCCTCTTAAGAGTCTTAAAGATAGGGCAGGGGTTGTGGCTCAGTGGTAGAGTGCTCACCTAGCATGCATGAGGCACTGGGTTTGATCCTCAGCACCACATGAAAATAAAATAAAGATATTGTGTCTACTTAAAACTAAAAAAACCAAATATTAAAAGAAAAAGATTCTTAAAGACAGTAAATGGAAACACAAAAGGCCATTATTGACCAGCAGTGGTAATATCTTTGTTCTCTAAATGACATTCTTATTTTCTGCATCTTTTGCATACTCTTTCTTGGCTCTTGATTTCAACTTTTTGACTTTTTTTTTTTTTCAACACCATATCTAGATTCTCCTGTTCCAGGAAGTTCTTCAACTAAGGTCTTGATCATGGGTTGAACCAATTCTTTTTCAGAATTCACAGATCTAGTGAATCAGCATTGTTCTGCCCTGGTTGCTGTGTTATAGTCTTCGGCTGTCTCACATGAGCCCATGAGTCATGTCACCCGCCAGAAGGGAAGCTCCCTGCAGACAAGCAGACCCTGCCTCCTGTACCTTGCTTTCCCCACTCCTCACACTCCAGTGCTCTGCACACAGCCTAGGGAGTCTGCTGAAGCTGTGGGACAGTCAGCTTTTCTTTTGTCAGGGATTCAGATCAGAAGCCCAGGTGTTCCCCCGGTGCACCTTCAGTTCAGAAGTGAACCCAAGCACAGTACATGCCATCAAGGAGCACTCCGCTCAGGGAAAAAAAAAAAAAAAAAGATTCATTTTGATAGTGCTGCATCAGAAACAAAGGGCCATTGCAACCTCTAGTTGGAAGAATGCAAAATTGGAACTGTGAAATGACATGCACATGGGACCTATGAGGATGGCTTGGACTGTGCTGCCTGTGCTGATAGGACTCACTAACTAGATCAGGTTCCCTCACTACCAATTAGCATCATGTTAATCTTGGCTAAAAGTGAAGCAAAGCTGCCAAGGATTTGGTGGATTTATCAGTCCCTCCCACATTGGTCATCTGAGACTAGCACCCCCTGGAACCTGGGTGGAGAAGAAAGTCCTTTCGTGACAATGTGTCATACGCTCTGGTCACTGCGCTCCTTAAAGTCACCATTTTTCTGGTCCTGCAGTGTTCTGCTATTTTTTTTTTTGAAGGAATGAAAATTCAATCTCACTTAAGCCGGATTCAGAAAATAGGTCATCGATGTGAGTTGCAGTTATTTTCCTTCCAGCTTTCTTCTATGCTTGCTTTAGATTGCTTTTCTGCAAAGGGCAGATGCAGCTGCCCTGGCTGGTGGGCATTCAAGGGGGGTGGTGACAGGCATCACTCAGATTCCTGGGTCCTCATAGCTAGAGTTTGCTTTTTGTCTGGGCTGTTAAACTCCTGCTAAGGAACAGGAGAAATATCCTCCTTAAGCATTGTTTCTCTCTCTCTCTCTCTCTCTCTCTCTCTCTCTCTCTCTCTCTCTCTCACACACACACACACACACACACACACACACAGCCCAGTTCATAGCCACTTGATTCACCACCCGCAGTTTATAATAGAACCGATCCGTGGGGTTATAAACCACTTTATTTTTGCACAGAATTTCTCAGCTTGAGGCCAAGTTGAAGGGCATTAGTCATCAGTAATTTGCAGTTGCTTTTTTAAATGTATTTCACTTCGAGAAGGTTAAGACAGCTAAAGCTAAGATTTCCCCATGCTTTGGAAGGAAGTGAAAAATCTGATGATTTAGTTAATCATTGTCATAGCTGTGGGCATATGTTGTTCCTTAGCGACTGCCACATCATGGCTGATTTGTGAATGTGGTAACACATTGTTCTGCATTTTCTTTTGATTTCGAAAGAGATTAGATAGATTCCATTATGCCACATTTCTTTCTTTCTCTTAATATTTGTATATGTTTAAGATTTAAAATTCCTAGAACATGGGAGGAGGAAACTTAGAGATCAAGGTAGGGATCATTGGTATCTCTGGAGCTCCCTCAAGTGTCTCCTGGGTGTCTCCCGGGAGATTCAAGGTCAACAACCCTGAGTTGGAACAAACCCTGGGTTTGTCCTTGAGAAACAATGACTAGTTCAACCATCTCACTTTTCAAATGAGAAAACTGAGGCACAAGGAGGAGGTGAAGAGACTAGAAATTTGCCAAGATTGCAGAAGGACAATATTAGGATGCTGGCCTCTCTCTGGCTTCCTTGCCGCCTTGTCACAGGGGGATCCTGCATGCCACTCCCTTTCTCCTCCCCCCAACAGGCTATTCATGATAAACAAGATCGTTCTAGAAACATCCTCTGAGGATGAGATAGATAAGCAGACGTGTTATGACGAGGCTGTGCACCTTTTATGGGGCTATGTCTCCTTATAGTAGGGATGCCTTTCCTTAATTTGCCCAGTTGACTCCTTGAGGGCTTGCCGTGGCGCAGGGTGCCAGTGATGACAGGTACTTGGATCAGGAACATATTTTTAGAGTAGAGCTGACAGGACTTACTATCTGCAAGAAGTGTTAATAAATTTGTGAAGTAATTTGGATGGGACTTGTTAGAATTCAGAAATCTTGTACATTTAAAAGAGTCCCCTCCTGTCCTTGCACAGGCTTCTGTGATCAAATCATCGTGCTTTCTCTTTTGATCTATGATATGGCTGTGACGTTCCCGCCTGGAGCAGATATTTTATCCACAGAAGATTGAATCGTTTTCCTAACTAGAATCAAGGATTTTGCAGAATGTGTTCTGTTTATTAATGCTTTTTTTTTCCAATAATTTTTTTTCGGTAAAGTTTAGTCATTTCCACAAATGAAATCTATTTTTAGGTAGCTAAATGAGACTTTTTAATCTATAGAAGCTGTTTTGCAAAAGTTAGAGGCCAACGTGACAAACGATTTTATTAACAGCCCATGAAAACTATGACTTCTCTCTGATTTTTCTGTTAAGTCTTAAAAAAAAAAAATGTTCAGACCATACCCATTTATCTTTCCCTGCCAACTCTGTGAGCCCAGGAGGCCCTGCAGCTCAGGGCTGCACCCCAGGCTGAGCAACATGTGCTGGGGCCAGCCTGGTCTCCACCCACTTCCCTGGAGGCTCCTCAGGGATCTGGCTGCTCATGTTTTAAGCACTTCTTTTGAAGACAAAATTCCAGACTTTTCCTAACCCCTCCTCCTCCTTACCTGCCCGGGGCATCAAGTCCCAGTGTCTGCTCTCTGTCTACTTGAAGCTCCCTGGCCTCATCCTGTCTGTTCTCTCCCTACCTCCCTGTCGGCCACTCCTCAGCTCCTCTTCCACATTCCTCATCCTCTCTGGATCTAAAGGCCTTGCAAGGTTCTATCCTTGCCAGCCCCTCGAGAGCCCCTCAGGGGCATGGGTAGCTGTGTCCTCTCTGCAGTATTCTTAGCTGGTCCTCCAGGCACCTTCTCCCTTCCAAGTTCCAGTTCTGCTTTCTTATAGCATCTCCTATTTTCCACTGGAACCTCCAACTCAGTGGGTCCCAAATTGAACTTAGAGTCTCCCCCAAGCTGTGCCTCCTCTGTGCCCCCATTTCAGACAGGCATCCAGTCTCAACATTTTGCCATTGATTTTGGTTCTGCATTTTCTTTTGATTTCAAAATTCTGTTTTGAACTGAATCAATAGATTTCACTGTTAATAATTTTTTCTCTGCAATATCACTCTCTCTTCTGAGGACTTGTGCCTTAGTTCAAGCCTTATAACTACCATAATCCCCAGTCTRCTTCCTGATTAGTGAGTGGTCCTGAGTCTTGCTGGGGCTCTGCTTGCCAAGCTGTGTACCTTTCATGGAGCCAAGTCTCCTTGCAGTAGAGATACCTTTTTCTAATTTGCCCAAATGGTTTCTTGAGASCTTATGGCGGTCCTGGGTGGCCGTGGTGACAGGTGCTTGGATATGGAATGTATTTTTAGCTCATCCTTCTACACTTCTGCCAAGTGTAGGAGTTTCAGAAAAATATAAAAAATAAGAATATCTTCTCTAATACTATTTTCTCCATTTGTTCTATGGGTTGATAGAATAATCATTCAAACTTCTAAGCTTCTAAGACCCTATTCCTGGTTCACAGCAAACTCTCAGTAAATGCCTTGCTACCCTCCTTATGAGACATTTCTTACTTTCTACCTTGCAGAGCAGTGACTTGTATTTGAGTTGTGTCTTTTTGGGGGTGAAGTGAGTTGAATGACATAGGCATGTGACCTAGCACAGGCTACTATATAAGGTTACTTGATATAAACACTGCAATACTGACTGTCCATCTGATAGCTACTGCTAGGGGTGGATAGTGTATACAGTGTGGATACACTGGACAGAGAGATGATTGATGTCCCAAGTGAGATGGAGCAAGATGGCATGAGATTTCATTATGCTACTCAGAGTGGTGAATAGTTTAAAASTTATTATTTATTTCTGGAATCTTCCATTTAATATTTTTGGACTGTAATTCACCAAGGGTAATTGCAACTGAATAGATAAAAAAAACTATAGATAAGGGAGGATTATTGTTATTTTGGGCAGGAACTTCGGAGAGGAAATAGTGCTGGAGAGAGGAAGTCACCTGTTAAGACATGATGGTAAAAGTCTTAGGTACAGTTGGCTCATTTGGAAGACAAGTGGAGAACTAAAGGCAGGGCTTTGATTGAGTGTCCACATTCATGGGGAGAATGGGGGTTGGCACAGGGGAGGCAGAAAAGGAACTAAGAAAGGAAGATGTAATGGAGACAAAGGTAAAGGAATGTTCTGGAAAGATGGAGATAGCGAACAATGGCTAATGCTGTAGGGGTGATGACAAGGCTTGGTATGTGCACTATGTTTATGATGGATACAAACCTTCAAAACATCAATTTAGTAGCGATTGGGCTGGGAATCAGATCTTCTGCCTTGTGAAACAAACCAACATATATATGACTGTATATGCATGTCACATGCATGTCTAAAGAGATGTTTATCATTAGTGATTACATTTAGATGGTGAGATTTTATGTGTTGTAATAATTTTCTTATTTCTCTTTTTTTTCTTAATATTCTATGAAATCACAACTTTTTTTTTCACTAGAAAACTRTCATGGTTTTTAAAGTTCTGGGTTTTATTGCTATACTGGACATTTATTGAGCACTTATAGAATGGATTTTGCCTATGAGAAAGAAAAAATTTACTAAGCCATGGCCTCTGTCCTCAGGGAACTCAGTGGTGGAAAAGACCAACATGTGAACAACGGAATGTCAGGCAAGGTGCTCGCTGCTAGGAAAGAGGACCTGTTAAGTGGGAGCATAAAGGAAAGGTCATTTCCAATGGGAACACTGGGAAAGGCTCCTAGGAGAGCTGACATCTGAGCCATACTCTCATCTGGGCCCTGTCTAGCATGCAGACAGCTTGTTTGTGAAGAAGATGGTTCCTACTCTGACCAGTCTTTACCATCACTTGCTTATATGTTGGTTTGGAATTATTCCCCACTTTTTCATAGTCATGTGGTWGTTTTCTTATTTTGTATATCTTTGGATATTTTTTAGTTTTTGTATTTAACATTTGTACAATTTTCCTATGCTTGGTTTTTACGACTTCTTTCTAAGAGCTGTTCTCTAGATTTGGAAGCATTCTTCAATGATTTGTTTACATATATACACACACATACACACATATATGTGTATACACACACACACACACACACACACACGATTCATACTATATTATCTAAAAGAAACATTCTCAAAAAGCATCCTCAGAAATGGAAGTCTTGGTCATGAATTTTCTCCTGAGTATAAAATGTTGCTGGACAAGTTTCTATTTAAATCACACTTGATGGGCTTGACTGACTACAGGAGCTCTCAGAGTGCCGGCTACAGGTTGCTTCACTTTCAGCAAGGTAAGGCTGTTCCTCCATTAAGGACTAATTTAGGGAATTTAACAAGGCTGGGCCCATTTGTAGTTGTTGAGGAACTGATACAGGCTTGTGAGAAACCCAAATCAGCTTGTGATCAGGGGGCTTCTGAGAAGAGCACAGTAGGAAATCTTGTGGGATCCAAGGACTGACAAGAAAGCTCAGCAGACCTGAGAGGGCCAAAGAGAGAACTGGTTGTTGGTCTGCTCACCAGTCCTCTGTCTTGCTCCTTGCTATTTCTTGCTGTTTCTTCTMAGGATGGGCTTCTACTGTTTCATGTGTTTTCTGCTCTTCTACGACTTAACTTCTGTAGGCATCTGGCCAAAATAATCTCCTCCATAGAAGTCTCTTACTCACACGAAAGAAAAAACGATTTATCCTTTAAAGTAGAATAATGGCACATCATCAAAAATATGACCAGTACAGAAACATACACAAATTTTAATAATTATTTTATTTTTCCTGTTTCCAATGTCTCTGACTCTTGGTAACTCTCTCTAAAGTTTAAGAATTTCTCTGGGGGCTTGGGATGTAGTTCAGTGGTAGGGCATGTGCTTAGCATGCATGAGGTTCGATCCTCAGTACCAAAAAGACCAAAACAAAATAACAGAGTTTCCATGTAGCCTTCTGCAAATACACACACACACACACACACACACACAAATGGCTATGAATGCAAATTTTGTTTTGTTGGTTTTTGGCACTGGGGATTAAAACAGAGGTACTTAACCACTGAGCCACACCCCTAGCCCTTTTTATGTTTTATTTAGAGACAGGGCTTTGCTGAGTTGCTTAGGGTCTCTCTAAGTTGCTGAGGGTGATTTTGAACTTGCAATCCTGCTGCCTCAGTCTCTCTAGCTGCYGGGATTACAGGTGTGCATCACTGCGCCTGACACAAATATTCTTTTATTTACACAAAAGTTATCCTTATACACTATTCAACACTTAAAAAAAAGCTTTAATTGTATGTTTGGCATTCTTTCCAGACTGACACAACATTTTCCTTCTTTCCATTTAGTGGTTATGTGTGGCTAGATAGTATTTCCTTTTATGTAATTATTATAACTTGTTGGATAATTTAAGTTGTATCCAGTTTTCTATTGGAAAGAATGTTATAATAAGTATCCTTGTATATCTATTTCCTAGAAGTTCAAAGTTTTAGTTCTTACACTTGTTCTATTAACTTCAAGTTAATTTTTATATGTGGCATAAGGACATATTCTCATATTTCTATACAAGCTTCAGCATTGCTGAAAAGTTTCCTTTGTAAGATATATAAATATAATTGATTTTTAAATTTTAACTTTGTACCCTCTACTCATGATGAACTCATTAAATAGTTCCAGTAGTTTTTCAAATATATTGCATCAGATTTTTAAGACATATGTCATCTGCAAATAAAGTCMATTTTAATTTTTCCTCTTCACTCTGGATGCTTTTAATTTCCTTTTCTTGTTTGATTGCACTGGCTCCCCACAATACTGAATAAAACCATGAGAGCAGGCATCCTCACTTTGTTCCTGATCTTAAAATGAATCATTCAGTTTTTCACCATTAAGTGTGGTGTTAACTCTAGGCTTTTCCTGGATGCTTGTGTTGGGTTAAAGAAATCCCTTCTATTTCTARTRGATTGAGAGTGTTTTKTTTTTTTTTTTWARCAATCCTGAGTGAACATTAAAGTTTTTCCAAGTGTTCTTGTTGCATTTATTGAGATGATCGAATGTTTTGTTTTGGTGTTTTTACAGTCTGTTTATATGTTGAATCTAGTGTGCTTTTTTTTTGGTTGTGTGCATAGGGTAAACAACCATAGAATTGTGGAATTGCATAAGACAGAGGATATGGGCATTTGACAGATTTTGACCAGTTAATCCTCCAGGAAAGATAATGCCAATTTACAGTCTCCTTTATGTTGTTCTAGGGTGCTTATTTCTCCAGATTCTTCCCAATACTGATTATTATCAACTTTAAATATCTTGTCAGTCTGCTACGAGATAAATGGTTATCTCAATATTTTCATTTGCATTTTAACATTTCTGAGTAAGATTTGGCATCTTTTATACTTTACATTCCAATTTCTTATTCTATTAAGTTGTTCTTATTGTATGTACTTTTGATAAAATAAGAAAATTAACTTCTGATGCAGATATTTTTTCTTACTTTATTTTTYGCAAAGTTTTAGTACTTACACATTTTTTCCTTATGGCCTTTGGGTTTTATATTCTGCTTGGAAAGATCTTTTGCCTATGCCAATATTATAATATACTTACCCATTTATTTAAAATATATATTGTTTGATCCATTCTAATCTATTTGGGTGAAAGGAGTCAGGTAGGGTTCTGGCCTAACTACTTTCTAAATAGTTGGCCAGCAAGTGAAGTCAGCACTATTTAGTGAATGGTTATTATTTAGTTCATTTTTTGCCCATTGATTCAAAATGTCATCCTCATCATAAACCTTCTCCCTGATGTATTGGAGTCTTCCTTTAGATTATATTCTGTTCTGTCGAATCTATTCCTGTAGCATAATGCTTTGAGCATTGCTGCAGTATAGTATGTCTTGATATCTGTTCAGATTATGCTGCCTGACCCCAGACTTTTTTCCAAATTTTTCATGTCTTCATGTATTGAATTTTCCAAATGAACTTTAATATCATTTTGTCAAACGATTGAATAGAATGTTTATTGATTTTATTTCTATTATTATTTGCTGGATAAAATGTTTAATGGTATGATTTTGCCTTGAGTCCAGCTTCCCAAAATTTTTTGTGAGGGTGTTAGTATGTTTATTATTGTCATTTAAAAAATATACAGATACTTTATAATTTCAGCTTTTACTTTTTCTTTTGCATCAAGATCTGAGAGTTAAAAGGTTTTTAGGTGGCTAGGTTTYTTCCTGTTAATGTTTATTTTTATTATAGTGTGGTCAGGGAAGATCATTATAATTCCATCTTCCTGGATGTTTTGAGGCTTTACTTTGTGGACTAATGTATTCTCTTTTTTTTTTTTTTTAAGAGAGAGAGAGAAATTTTTAATATTTATTTTTATGTGGTGCTGAGGATGGAACCCAGTGACCCGCGCATGCCATGTGAGTGCGCTACCGCTTGAGCCACATCCCCAGCCCGCCTAATGTATTCTTTATTTTTTTAAATTAAAATATCCCACCAGTGCTTGAAAATGTGTTTTATGTTAGATAAGTATTTTGATATAGATTTACTGGGTTTAGTGATTATATTATATTTCTTAATACTTTGTCATCTTGTTCTRTCCTAGCTAACAATGCCTGTTAGTATTATTACGTTTTGTTGACTTCTTCTAGAATTTTATATTTTTATGGATTTTGACAGTTTGGGGTGCTGAAAGATTTATAATACTTATAAACTCATTTTTGATGTAAACTCAGATCATTCTAACTGTGTAGAATAGTACTTGGGGCCTGGTAATTGCTATTATTGTTGAATATAAAACAACTCTTTTTTGTTGTTGTTGTTGAGTTTTTTATTTGATTTTACTCTTTTCAGATATTATGATTCTTTCTGTTTTGTTACCATTTATTTGATGTGTATCATCTATCTATCCAACTATCTACATATACATACATACATACATACATACATACATACATATATTTTTAATCTTTCTGAGTCATAAGGAGACTATTGGACAGTTTTTAAAAATATTTTTATTAGTTGTTGATGAACCTTTATTTTATTTACTTATTTGCAGTGCTGAGAATTGAACCCAGTGCCTCACACATGCTAGGCAAGTGCTCTACCACTGAGGCACAACTCTGGCCCTTGGACRGTTGGTTTTAGCTTTGGAATCTAAAGATTAGTTTTTCTTTTATATTTTGGCCTTCTAAAAGAATCCTATATTTATTAATATAATATATATTTCCAATCTTAATGATTTTAATTTGTGTTTTCTGGTTTTAATGCTTTCTCCCTTTCCTCCTCCCAGCCCCTGCCATCTCCTGCCCTATGGGTTATCTTTTCTTTGGTTATGTCTGTATGCTTCCAGGGGTAAGCATGATTTTTCTTGTAATAATATCAAAGATTTATAATCTATTTTTAGGTCTTCTAGAGATTTCTTTAACAACTCTATATAGTGGCTTTAGCTTCTATTTATTAATTATCTATTGACTACTTATTGAGATGGAAAAGAAGATTGACACATATATTTTATTAATACCATCATTTTGCTTTGCTAACTTAATAATTTCAAGTAAGATAATAATTAAATCTCACTTTCTTTTTTAAATGTTTTTTTTAGATGTACAGTCCTTTATTTTATTCACTTACTTATATGTGGTGCTGAGAATCGAACCCAGTGCCTCACAAATGCTAGACAAGCGCYCTACCACTGAGCCACAGCCTCAGCCCCAAATCTCACTTTCTTAATTTCTTATTGTTAACAAGTCTAGAAATGTGAGAAAATTTCATCCTTATTTTCCCTTCTATCTTGCCTCAAATTGTTGGATGTGGTATGTTATTTTTTTTATTGTTGAAATGTATAACATTTCCCTTTTATAAACAATACTTCACACTGGTGATTGGCTTTATTTGTAAATATAAAAAGGTTTAGTTCTTTCTGTCAGRCTTTCTACTAGAACTCCACTTTAATATCTTGGTTTGCTAGATTTTAGACTTATGTGGTTCTTTAGGAAGGACCAATGGAGTCACTGAGCTTTTGCATGCCTGGGGGTGTCTGTTGTTTTTGTTCTTGAACAATTTGGGTAAATATAAAACTATTTGTCCATGCTCTCCCCACACAACATTATATGCATGGCTTACATAGTTTTCTGCTATTGTTAGTGTGGAAAGAAATCTGAGCTTTTGATCCTTTTTTCTTTTTTTTTTTTTTGTGTGTGTGTTTGGTTTTGAGGTGTGTGTGTGTGTGTGTGTGTGTGTGTGTTCTACATAACTGAAAATTTCTTTTTCTGCCTTGACACTCAGTGGTTTTACAAGGAACTGCCTGTCTTCTGAAAAC